ACGGAAGGTTTCCAGATGGATAAGCGGAGCAAATTCAGGTTAGTAAAAGGCGGCCCCATCTAGGAAACACACAGCCAGGCAGACGAGCTCCGAGCTAGCTCCCATGTCAGCACTCCGCACCTTATTTCCACTTTCTTCATTCTGATTCCAATTTCTGGGACTACATATTATTGATTCACCTACATTTACGTGCTGTAAAGTTTAGAGATGAAATAAATAAATTGCTGGTTAAAATTTCCCCCTCAGCAGGTACAATAATGATGCATTTAATGCCTTAAAGAAGTAGAGTAAAAAGCGCAGAGGTGCAGGGAGGGCGGAGGGGTGAGAGCTCACTCCTCAGAGAAGTCGGGCGCGTTGTGATTTATCTCTTTCTACATGTACAGAAGCTCCCGACTGAGTTACCGTTCTCAGAACTTTAGTCATTTCAGTGGTTGGAATGAAAAACACTTTAAGGGACCAGCTGTGGGGCAGTGAAGCATTGGCTAACGCTGGGATGTGCATTAATCTACTTTGGGACTAAAGTTCAGTATATCTGAAAGCATGATGCTCGCCATCAACCTGAAACCCTTCAGTCTGTAAGTACAGTATATTAAAGAGCACCCCCTCATATTATCTTCGACCACTTGTGTATTGTGTCTGTAGCCGTTTCTTTGTCATGCTTGCAGGATGTTCTTTATGTATTTTGCCTCTATTTTATACTATGAAGACGTACCTAGATATCCAATACCTCCTGTATGAAGTACTTACAGCACTTAGATTTTTGATAATTGTGAGAACTCCGAGAAATTTTCCGATATGAACGTCATCCTAACTTAGCGTCCGCAAGTCTTTGCCTTTGCTGTATTGTTGGATTTGGTAGTAAACACTTGCACATGTCTACATAGTTCAGAGGACTTGGATTGTATTATGTAGAGCTATATATTACACAACTATTAAAAATAACCCCACATCCTCGGGACAAAATGTGCTGAATATATTGAGATATAGTGTACAGATTTAATAAACCAAACCCAGTCGAGCCAGTTCTTTTCTGGCAAGCTTGCCCACGTTTTAGACCTTCTCTCAGGGTAGTCTTGCTTTTTAAAGCTTTACTGAAACGGTTGCTCTCATCGGAGGTGGGGATTTTTGATCGAAATGTAGAGAACGACTCTGTTACGCGATCAAGTGGGACGGTTACTGGAGTTTGAGCTGAGTTTGAGTTGTCACTAAAATCGTGATTGGCTCTGAGGAACCTGTGCAGTTTTGTAATTATTACGGATGTTTCGAAGTACAGAGCCGACTGGAAATACTTACGGGCTGCTTTTCTGGGTTCATTACAGCTGCTCTCTAAGTTCGAAGCACGGAAAGCATTTGTGCTGTTTTTTTTTAACATCCACGTTCTGTGCAGAATATACTCTGATTAGATTTTCTTATGAGAAAACCCTGTTTTTCATATTAACATAGTCACAGGAAAAGAAATGTATTTACCTTAACCATTATCCTTTCATGTAAACATCATCTAATTGTTTTGCATGCACTTAATTCTGGTCACATGGCAAGGGCAAAAACCTTTTTTTGTGTTATTCTTCTTACACAGGAACGGTAGATCAGTACTTTAGCTCCTCTCTACATTTGTAACGTCCATGCATGGTGCAGCTGATTGATATAAACCGCAACATCATGTTCTGCTGGAAGCAGGAAGTGGAGAATCAGCTTACTTCTAGGTTAATATTTAAATTTGTTATTTTGTGCCATATCATGTGCTTCATGCATTTTCCTTACAGATAAGTTTCTTTTGAGGGGTCTGTTTGTAACCCGGTTCAGAAAGAAAGCCTGGCTTTGATTTTGATTATGAATTTTGATATTTTTATTTTAGAATTGACATTTGGTGACTAAAAAAAGAAATTAGCTGGAGAGCAGAATGTAGATTATTACGATCCAAGTGAAAATAAAAAAAAGTGTTATCTCTGAGGAAAGGTGTTTAAATGACTGCGACTAGGTAAGGAAGGCTGAAAGATGTTTCAAAGGAACTTTGTAAGGAATCATGTGTCACTCTATCAAATGTTAAAGAACTGTCAATGATATGCTAATTTTCCTGGAAAATAAACTGCATATGTAAGCCATCAGTCAATACATTATTGTTTAAGATCCGCTGTGCTGTGTGTTTATTTAATGAGAGTAATTACTTTTAGAGTTTGGAGAAACAATGTGCATATAAAGCCATATTGCACTCTTTAAACCTAATGTTAGCATTTTTTATCACTTGCAAACCTCTTACTACAAGGCTGTACATCTTATTTGATGATGAGCCCTTGAATGATATATTACCTACTGTATATTAAGTTGGGGAAAAAATTAAGTCATGTACATTAAATGTAAATTGTTTTGTTCCACTGACAAAGTATCATTTACCACTTCAAATTTAAGAAAAAATTGACCTATTTTAAGAAAAACCTTCTCATTTGGTTTTTCGTGATTTTTGCGGTGTGGAAGCTCTATCTATGGCAGCATCGCCATCTAGTATTTTTTTTTTTTTTTTTTATAAACTTTATTATTTATAATACACAACAATACAAAACTGCATTGTGTACATATCACAAAAGAACAAAAACATTTGCCAGAGGGAGCATTAACAGAAAACAATACAAGTATAATAAGAAATGACAAAATAATCTTGTTTAAAGTGAATTAACACAATAAATTATCTAAAATTCCAATTTGATTGCAAGTTGTTTTTGCTTTTTTATTCGTTGAAGGTCGAATTGCAAATATATAATGTTTAAATTCAATCAAAAAAACTGAAAAGGCAGGTTTTTTTCTTAAAAACTTGCATTTATGAAGATGAAATTTAGCCTTAATAATTAATAAATTGATAAGAAAACTCTTCGCACTCATTCTTTCATTTTGTTGAAAGAAAAACAGCAAACATCAATATCAGAGTTGAATTTCTTTAAATAGACTTTAGTAGATTCTGTGTCTGAGTTTAAAAGATACTTCTTTACCATCTAGTATTAATGCAGTCATTTGGCAACGATGCCATGTTTACATGGTCGTACCGCGTGGTGTTTGTGAGCCACGCCCCTCTACCGCCACGGGTCGCTCTGACGTAGTGACGTCACCGTCACGTATGTTGTCGGGCTGGAGGTTTCGCGGCGATGGCGACGGAGGCTCGGCGCTTGGAAGGGACGCGCTGAGCGCTGGGCTTTTTCGCTCGGATATGACGAATTCGTATCTGTTGGTGGTTGCTTTGCTCTTCAGTTACTCCATCGGTTTCGGATAGCCCCTTCGGCCGTGGACCCCCCCCTCATCTCTCCCCTCTGACTGGTGAGTCAGGCGGCTGTGGTCTCGGTGTGTTTTGACAGAGGCCTCCGTCCCGGGGTCCGCCCTCCATCTTCATAACAAAAACAGTCTGGCTGAGCGGAGCGGCTAGCCGCTAGCCTGGGAGCTCACCGGCTGCTCTGCGGTGAACCCAGCGCAGGGACATTGCAACAGGAACGGGCAGCGCTGCGGTGTCAGAGCCGCTTGTATTCCGGAGCTTTTCTCAGAGGAGCTAAAAGGAACCGATGCTAGCTAGCTGGCTAACTGTTGATGTTAGCATTAGCTTCCCTGAAGAGAAGGAAGAACAGTCGCTGTAGTTTTTCCTCTGCCTTCGGTGCGTCCGTTAGTCTGACATTACTGTGAGATTTATGTCTTGAAGTTTGGTGTTTAAATTTTATTTTATAGATTTATACAATGCGTTTAGTTGAACGTAACTCATGATGAGTTAGATGTGATCCATTCAGTCAGCCGTTATCAGCGCACTCTCTCCCTGCCTGCTGTCAGGTTTTACTCCGGGTTAAAGCAGGGAGGCTGCTGCGGCTCTAACGGCCCCGGGCTCGGCTGTAAACAGAGCCGTGCGGCGGCCCGATACGCCTTATCAGGCACAGGCAGCGGTAAGAGCGAAGCAGTGACCTCATCCAGGCGCTTGTTGGAGCTGAGGCCTGGCTGGAGGGGCTCATCATTTCCACTGGATTTCTCCCTTTGCTCCTGTGAATGTTCCTGAGGAGGTGTGTTGTTGTCTTCCCGATCTGCCCGTTCACAGACCCTCAGATCACATTTCAGCCTCTGCAGCAGGAGATGACCTTTCCAGCTATTTGTTGGCAGTTTGTTCAGATGTTTCTAACAGCCTGTCTGTTCAGAAAGCTGAAGTTTCACTTAAAAAAATAATATCTATTTATTTCAATTCATTTTTGAGATGAAAAATATAATTCACCAACTTAATGCAAGATGTTAAGATCCTCATGTTTGTCAATATATTCCTGTCTCAATGAGTGGGTTTGTTATCTTACACATATTATCCTGGTGGACCTCCCTCCCTCTGACAAACACTCTGTTCTTAAAAGCTGGGAGAGATGCCAAAGGTGTTAATGTTTATTACTCCAGTAGAAATATAAATCCTACTGTTTAAAAGCACTTTTGTAGAAGTTAAAGTATCAACTTCAGCTTTTTGCTGAAGTTAAAGTACCATTTATAACTACTTAAAGTGTAAAAGTAATGCAGGAAAAATGATAAGGACAGCTTTCCTGCTCTACCCTATTAAAGGAACATTTATCTACAATTATGGATGATAACTTCCTTAAAGGAATAGTACACCCAAAACATGATTAGCCTTCATTTTCTACTCACCCCCA